AAGCACTGAGAAAACCAAAAGAAAAAAAGTAAGACATTATTACTATGACTAATAGAAAAGGAGTCGGGGCAATTAGTCTTTAGACTCGGGTAAAGGGGTGGTGTGCCTCCGATCCTGAGCACATTTCCATTGACTTTAACACAAGGGCACCCTCAGAGTGTTTTTAGGCTGAAACCTGAATGCATTAGAAACAAAAGAAACCTTCCCACCGAAACCAATATGGCTCTTGCTGACACCATTGAATTTAGACTAAGGTTCCTTCCACACAGCTGAATAAAATCCCACATTATCTGCTTTGAACTGGATTATATAGCAGTGTGGACGCAGATAACCCAGTTCAAAGCAGATATTGTGGGATTTTCTGCCTTGATATTCTGGGATGTAGGGCTGTGTGCAGGCATGTGGGGAGGGGGCCGAAATTCTCATGGTGGTTCGGGAAAAGGCCTTACTGGTGCATTATTTAAACTGTTATGTTTATTCATATCATGATCTGATCACCATACTCAATATATCCCATATGCATGGGGGTATTGGGGTAACGATACAAAAGGTTTGCTAGGGTAGACCCTCTTTCACTCAGACTCAACCCCCACCCCCAACAAACTCAGCCCCTCCCAATCGAAATCCTGGCTACGGGCTGGCTGTGTGGAAGGACCCTTGGAGTAGAGTGCTCACAAAACCTGATTCCCTTTGAATTGACTCAATAGTAGATCCGGTTGTGCTGCTCTAGGACCTAATACTCTAAATCAATGGGACCTCCTCTTTTTTTCAGATTGATGGGCACGATCCACCCAAGTGAAGAATGCCTTGCATTTCCATTGGGATTCTTCCCCATTAAATTCAACCTCTCCCTTTTTGAGTTTGAGGTTTGGGCAATAGGCGGCAAGATGGAGCAAAGTACACCAAACACCCCACGGTGAAGCTCTTCCATGAAAGATCTTTGCTCAGATCCAAGGGTCATGAGTGACTAAACTGGGCCAGACGAGGCCGAATTCCATCTGCCTTAAGGAGCCATGCCTTCTTAATTTGAATCGAGCAGAGATATATCTTTAGACGTCAGACTCAAACCAGGCGCCTGCCCAGATATATTTTCAGGGATTTGTTTTTTCAAAAAATATTATTATCATTGTCACACCCGAAACCCCAAACGAGGTGACCCGATATAGATTTTATTTTCTTGTCACCTTCTCCCTTGGTTTAAAAACAAACACTTAACCCAAGTAAATATTGATGTAGTTTCTATATTTAATGGGGAGGGCAATGGGGAGTGTCCACTGCATTTCTTCCATAAACCTTAACCTTACCCTAGGAAGGCCGGTAGCTCTATCGCATAAATATACCTCGACTAAGCGGATGGGATAGATAGATAAATTAATTCCAGGCCTGTTTAAAGGCACCGGGTTTGGTGAAACAAAGGGCCTTTCCAGACAGGCCCTATATCCCAGGATCTGGTCCCACATTTTCAGTTTAACCCAGATTGGTAGTGGAGACTTATATAATACGGTTTAAAGCAGAAAACCTGAGATCAGATCCTGGGATAGTGGACCTATCTGGAAGGGCCCAAAGTGAGGAGGAGGATAAGAACAATTCAACCTTTCTTTTCTCTTTGACTCCCTTTAAGGAGCAATATTCTCCTCCAAATTCATGATATAATTTTTTACTTCTTGGACTGCAGTGATTACTTTTTACAGTTTAGACACACTAATGGGCATCAAGGGTTGAGTGGATAGGAGTGGTCTAATCTACTGAAAGGCAATGCACCTAAAACTCCCAATATATGAACACATTCTAAAAACTAAATTTCTTTGATCTTCCTCCAGCTTAATTGGACAATACAGAGTTTTTGAACTAGAATGCAACAAGTCCATATATATGTAGATACAATAAGCACATATGTGTGTATAAAATAAGATACACACATTTACATACATACATATGTACGGGCCTTAAAGTTTAAGTTGGTCTATCCAAAAACAAATGCGCCTGATGCCCTAATTTAGGAAAACACATTAAATACTATTTTTAAAAAATCTCTCCCCACCTCCTTGGAAAGTGCAGAAATTTTGGACGGGCAACCATGTATCTGAATAAAATAAAATAAAATAAAATAAAATAAAATAAAAATAAAATAAAATAAAATAAAATAAAATAAAATAAAATAAAATAAAATAAAATAAAATAAAATAAAATAAAATAAAATACTCGAAGACTAGATCTACACTGTCATATAATGAAGTTTCAGAAGCCGCTCCGAGTCCCCATCGGGGAGATGGTGGCGGGGTATAAATAAAGTTTATTATTATTATTATTATTAATTGCATTGAACTGAATTACGTGAATCCACATTGCCATATATCACTATGGTACAAAATTTGAAAACATTTCTGTTCCTGGTTTGAAAGTGTTATTCCTATTTAATTGTACGGCACTTACTTTGAAAGTAGTTGTTCTACTCCAGAAACTTTGCTTTTGTGGCTGCCACAAACTATGTTGAACTGATTGAGATTCATGAGGTATTCACTGAAAAACTATAGCAAAATGTGCTGCAACATGTCCCGCAAAAAACAACAATTTTTTGCAATTTAATCAACTGTTTCGGTGTTTTTATGATAGAACCAATTAGAAAATGACATTTATAACCCAGGAACAAAAATCGTGTTATATAGTTAACCTGCATTCTGAATCGCCAATATATAGATGTATAGATCCATCCATAGATGTAGACATATAACAGGTTTAGGCTTGGGATCCTGGGGTTTGATAACTTAGCTGTTGTGCTTGGAATTCTTTGCATCAATGTTTTAGACAATCCGGCTGAGTTAGGCGAAAAAAGACCCGAAGGTCCATATTTTTGAAGAGTTTAAAGGAATTGGAAAATGCCTACCGGATTGTGGACAGCTCAGGAAGATGTAGGCGATGGGGCAGAAGAAAAGTGCCACACCAGCTTCAAGATAGGGATCAGAGAGTGCCCAGCCTCAGCCTCTCCGCCTGCATTTGCCCACTCGCAGAGGGCCGTGGGCTCTCCGGACCGGTTGTGCTGGACCTCCATGACTCCACAGTGTACCAAGGCCAGTTTGCCCAGCGCCGGTCCAAAAGGCTTTGGCCGCAGACACGTTTAAGACGGTTTCGTGGGAGAAAATATGAATACCAGCGCTCGCCCAAGCAAACAAAACCCTTGGATCCACCTCTCGCCTAATCTGTGTGCCTACCCAGGAGGAAATCTGGCAAAGTTCACTTGCTTCTGAAGGCCAGGTCTTTAACATCTTCTAGATAAACTAAATAAAAGAGACTCTAGGCCTAGTAGTATTATTTCATAGACAGGAGCAGGGAATGCAAGGGGTGAGGATTGGGACCAGGACATTGAAAGCGGGCTTCTGGGGTGCTGACTCGGGGCCCTTCTAGACAGGCCCTATATCCCAGGATCTGATCCCTTCCCTGCTTTAAATTGGATTATATGAGTCTGCATTGCCAGAGAATCTGGAATAAACAGAAAACCTGGGATCAGACCTTGGGATATAGAGCCTGTCTTGAAGGGCCCTCCAAAAGAAGGTCCAAAGAGCTCCTGGGAGGAGTTATTTCCAAATAAGAGCATGGAAGGTTGCCCTTGAATGGGTAAATACCCTAAAAGCAACACATTCCGCCTGATCTTAGAAACTCTGTTGGTTAGTACTTGGATAGGAAACCTCAGATAGGAGACCGCTTAGGAATACCGAGTGCTATTGGATATATTTCAGAAGAAGGAACAAAAAAACAAAAACTAAAAACAAACAAACAAACAAACAACCCACAGTTTGCTTCTGTGCCTAAGAAAACGCTATGCAATTTATTAGCATAAATCTACTGCGAGACTGAGGGCCCTTGCGTACAGTCCCATTACCCAGAATATCAAGGCAGAAAATTCCACGATATCTACTCTGAACTGGGTTATCCGAGTCCACACTGCCTTATATTCCAGTTCAAAGCAGATATTGTGGGATTTTATTCAGCTGTATGGAAGGGACCTGATAGTCCTAATAGTCCTCAAGCCTCCCGAACCTGTTTAGGAAAATGGGATACATATATAGAAAGAGAGCTCTCTTTGAAGAACATTGCAAGATCCTTCAAGGAGAAATCTTCCACGGAGAGATGAGAAGTGAAATGGCCAGTCCAAACTCGGCTTGAAATTCACCTATTTCCTCCTTTTGTACCCCCTTCCCCCCTCTTACATTGTTGACTTGGAGAAGCTCTTAAAGGATTTCAACGCAGCTTACTCTCAGTAGGCAGTACTGCCCTATACAAAGCACAGACACCCCAATAACCTCTCGAGCTTTTTATTCCTCCATTCAAGAATTAGCCTTATGCCAGTTTTCTCCAATGCCAGGGCCGGTCAGGAGGGGAGCTTTTACCTATCTCCATCCCCAAAACACTAGAAGAAAGAAAAAGTCCCCGCCTGCGTGAAAACCTATGGAGGAATCCCATAGATTCCAATAGAGTAGGGTCTTTCCTTTCTCTTTCGCTCCATTCAGATTAGATTGAGGATTAGGTCCGCATAGACCTGAAGACAAGGTCCGTATAGACGTGCACCTTGGAAAGGACTCAGGGCCATCCAAATAGTCCTATATCCCAGGTTCGGATCCCAGATTTTCTGTTTATCCCAGTATGGATTCATATAATCCAGGTTAAAGCAGAAAATCTGGGATCAAATCCTGGGATATAGGGCCTGTCTGGAAGGGCCTTCAGAAATAGAATATTTTCTTTCAAAATAGTTTTGTTCCCGTCTGGATGGAGGCAGGAAAATTATTATTATTATTATTATTATTATTATTATTATTATATCATTAATTATTATTATTATTATTATTATTATTATTATTATTATTTTACTATTAGCATTCAGAAGTAAAGTCATTAGGTCATATGGTTTCCCAAATCAGGAAAAATAAAATGTGTGTTTGGGAAGTGGGGGGTGGGGGGAGGAGTAAAGAAAGAGAAAGATTTATTTTTAAGAAATGTATTCTGCATTCAGTACATATCATTCGGACACCACATTATATACATAGACAAGACAATTTTGTTCTCTCTTTTTTAAAAAAAGGCCGCTTTGACATCGCGAAAGAACACCTAGGGCTCTTCCTGATTTGAATGTATATAGAAAGGAGGGGGGCATTGCCCAAGAAACAAAAAATCAACAACAGAGCGACGTTTCGCCTTTCCCTCCCGCAATGTCCACAGAGAAAGAAACATTCCAGTTTGGTAGCGGGGAAAACAAACGCACCAGAACAACAACAACAGCAACAACAATTCTAATAAAAAAATAAGGAGAAATCAAACCCGGCTGAGAACATCTTCCAGCAACTTAAAAAAGAACAAGGCTACGATTCGGCCAAAAAAAAGGGAAGGGAGTTTAAATCGCATTCAGGTCAATTAAGGATTGTGGAAAACCCCGTTTGAATGTCTTGCTTTACAACCCAAGCAGTCTTGGGAGTGGCTGCCTTTTCGACCAGTCCCTTTTAAATTCAGGAGGGACACAAACTTATTGGAGCAATACCAGGCTAAAATCAGAGAGGAGGGGACATTAACAGCAACACATTCAGGGTAGCAGCCTTATTTCTCTCTTTCTTATTTCTTTTTCCTCCGCTCCTGAACTTTGCTTTGGGTCCCTCTTAAAGAAATAAGCAAATAATTATGGTATCTCTACCAGAACCGGAACAGCTTTGAAAAAGTCCCCCATATATATATTTATATTTATATATACATATATTCAATTAAAAAAAAACAGACAAAGAAAGAGAAAGGAGAGGGGAGGGGGAGGACTATCTACAACATAATATTCAACCACCCCTGATAGGAAACTGACTTATTTGTATCCCCCTTTTCCCTCCCTTCTATTTGTCCAATGTGCATCTTGAAAAATTATATCCAAACTGCTGTTTAAGGAGGGCGGCTGCATTCACAGTTAAAGACAGAAGAAGAAGAAGACAGAAGGAAACCCAAAGAGGGCGGTTGCGATCCCTGGCCGCCTCTTTGGAGGTGTTTTCCCTTTAAATAATCAAATTAAAGAGTCCCGGTGCCTGGCTGGATTATTTTTATACAAATGGACCCAATAAATAGGTGTCTTTGATTCTGTCCTGTGCCCGCTTAGTTGGCGGAAGTGGTGCTGAGAGTGTCGGCGGCTTCTCTAGACTTGGGCTTGTTTGTTCTGGCTTTTTAATATTTTTTTGCCCTTTGAAGGAGGGCTGGGTCAGGTGGCGTGCAGGTGAGGTGCTTTAGATTTACTAACCACCTTCTTCTCCTTCACCCTCCGGTTCTGAAACCAAATGGTGACCTGGCGCTCGGAAAGGTTAGTGGTAGCCGAGATCCGTCGTCGCTTCTCTTTGGTAATGAACTTGCTGGCGGCGTACTCTTTCTCTAGTTCTTTCAGCTGGATTTTCGTGTAGGGGACTCTTTTCTTTCGACCCCTACGGTAGCTGCTCACTTCTGGTTGAAGAGGGACCACATCTGAAACGATGAGGAGAAGAGGAAAGAAAAGAAGGAAGAGAGAGTGAGAGAAAGGGAGGGAAAGGACGGAGAAGCACAGAAGAAGAGAAAATAAAGGATTGTGGGCGGAAATAAGGACAGAAAAGAGATCAGAAAGAGAAAAAGATTGAAGGAGGAAGGAAAAAGTGGAGAAAGAAAGAGAGAACAGGAAAAAGGGCAGAAAGAGAAAAAGGAAGAGAGATTAAAGAATGAAGCAAGAAATTGAGAGAGAAAAACGAACAGAAAAAGGAGGAAAGATTGAGGAAGGAAGGAAGGAAGGAGAAGTAGAGAGAGAAAGGGCAGAAAAGAGAACACAAAAAGAAAAAGGAAGGGAGATTGAGGGAGGGAGGAAGCAGAAGTGAAGAGAGGAAACAGAAAAGAGAACAGAAAGAAAAAGGAAGAGAGATTGAGGAAGGAAGAAAGGAAGAAGTGGAGATAAAAAGGACAGAAAAGAGAACAGAAAAAGAAAAGGGAGATAGAGGAAGGAGTGAAGGAAGAAGAGAGGCAGGAGAGAGATAGACGGAGAGGGAGAGAAAGAGGAAAACAGAAAGAGAAGAAGCAAGAGAGATTGAGGAGGCAAAAGAAAGAAAGGACGAATAGAGAACAGAAAGAGAAAAAGGATGAGATATTGAGGAAACAGAAGAAAATAGAAGCAGAAGAGAAAGCGGGAAAGACCGGAGAAGCAGGGGGAGAGAAAGAGGTAAAAATGAGAGATTGGGGAAGAAAGAGAAAAAGAGAGGAGGAAAGAAAAAGAAAAAGAAAGATGGAGGAAAAAAGGAAGGAAAGAAAGTGTAAATGAAAAAGATGAGGAAGAAAGGAAGGAGAAGAGAAGGAGACGGAGAGAGTAAGGAGGCAGACACGGAAGAGAGATTGAGAAAGAAAGGAAGAAGAGAGGGAAGGAAGGAAAGAAAGAAAGATGTCTATTATATTAAACAGCATCTTGTAACTAGATGGACAATGTCTCTTCCAGACATTATAGAGCAGGAAAAAAGTAGCCTATGGGGAGGATGCGAAGGGGAGGAAAAAGGAGAAGAAATGGAAATGTGGATGGGGGAAGAAAAAGAGAGGAAGATAGAATGAGAGACTAAGGAGAGAAATAAAGGGGGAGGGGGGCAAGCAAGACGCGGTTGGGACTGTGCAATGGTGGAGTGGTCTTCTCCAGCCAGTATTAATATATTAGCAGAGGAGGCGTGAAGGGGTGCTGCTATTCCGGGCGAGACTGATCTGAGACAAAGAAAGCCCAGCAAGTCAAGGAAAAGGCATTTAGCAAAGAGGGCAGCCGAAATTAGAAATTTGGGAGTTGGCTCCAAAATTAGTGATTCCCCACCCCCTCGTTTTTTAACGGAGACAGCCTCTATCCTCCAGCCCATTACTCCCCTTCTAAGCATCCAGTGAATGTTGAAGCGGTCGCTTTTAGAGAGACCTCGTGAACTGGGTTGGTTCCAGGAGACCTCTTTCTCCTCCTCCCTATCTCTCTCCAGATGCTTAGTTCTTGGATCTATGCAGCTCAAGGGCCATCTGTGAGCTTGAGGGACCTGCACCGTCTCTCCCTTCCTCTCCTGTCCACATCCTTTGCTGCTCAGGAGAGCTATACTACCAAGAAGACCAAACCAGGCCACGGTTGTGTCGAAGGCTTTGTGCTTTCTCCAGCGATTCCCACGCTGTTGGGAAATGGGCAGCACCTCGCCTAGTCTAGAAGGCAGTGGGGACTCAATGATCCTCATTATACCTTTATGCATGCAGTCTCCTCCTTAATAGCATCTCCTGCAAAGGCTGCCCCGTTGCCAATTCGTCAGGATTAACTGTAATCACTTGGCCATCAACCTCTCTTTCTCCCTCACCTCCCCCCCAAAACACCGGACTCCTTTCTTTATCTCTCTCTTGAAGGCTTATTAGGAGTCTTACGGCGGAATAAGATCCCAGAGCTGCTTTGCATTGCCCGAACTATAGTCAGGGAAAGGCTGAAATGAAAGGGTCAAAGGGATGGGAAGGGATTTTTTTTGGGGGGGGGGGAGGTGTTCCTGCCGAAGGACAGCAGAAACCTATCAGAATATTTCTCCATGATGGAGAAGAGAAGAGTCACTCTTGGTTGTTGTAGGTTTTTTCAGGATATATGGCCATGTTCTAGAGGCATTTTTTCCTGACGTTTCGCCTGCATCTATGGTAAGCATCCTCAGGAGAAAACGCCTCTAGAACATGGCCATATAGCCCGAAAAAACCTACAACAACCCAGTGATTCCGGCCATGAAAGCCTTCGACAAAACTGAACTACTCTTAATGGGGATTAGATGGCCTTTGTCCTCTCGAACTGTGGTTGCAACAATTAACAAAGAAAAATCCTAAAAGATCTTAAAGACCATCGGTTTCATTAGCCCGCAATTGAAATAGTGGGTTGCACTCCTCCGAAGTTCAAGCCAAACCAAGCTGGCTACTAAGGTCTATTTAAGGTGCTACATTCCCTTGTAGTAGATTAACCACTCGCTTATGACAAAAAAAGCCTTCAATGAGCGACAGGGTGACCTCACTACCTCTGAGGATGTTTGCTATAGATGCAGATGAAACGTCAGGAGAGAATGCCTCTAGAACATGGCTATATAGCCCGAAAAAACCTACAACAACCTAGCGACAGGGTTATTTGTTATTGATGGGTGTTTGTGTTTTTCTTTTTGTTTAAAAGATATAATCTTGCTATTTCTGGGGAGAGGGCGGATTCTTACTTTTCTCAGAGTTCCTAGAATATCTCTCTCTACCTATTATTTCAGTTGAGTCTTTGGGGGCAGTGATAGCAAAGTGTTGCACGCACATACAAACACACACACACACACAGCTCAGTGCCTTGGAGTCCCGCCCCCCTCCAACAATGTTTCAGGATAATGGAGGAGGAAAGGAGGTGAGAGTCTTTCCTTTGAGCTCTCCACTTTGGTTTTGGGAACCACAGCAGCTGATGGCAGATTGGGCTGTTGTGAGTTTTCCGGGCTGTATGGCCATGTTCAATGTTCTGGAACATGGCCATACAGCCCGGAAAACTCACAACAACCCAGTGATTCCGGCCATGAAAGCCTTCAACAATAAGTGGATGGAAGAGTCCTTCCAATCTCAGAGAAAGAAAGGAACACAGATGGAGAAACCTGCATTCATTCTCACATCACTCGCTCTGAGGCTTGCCTCTTCACCTTCCATCTCACCAAGGCTTCCTCGAGGCATTCTTTAAAAAGCAAACAAGGAGAGGGGGGTCTTTTTAGCTCTTCACCGACACCCCACAACGCAACCCCTGCCAATACATGAGGCTGAAAGAACAGCAAGGCTAGATAAGGCCTTCTCTTTCCTTCCGCACTCAACTCGGGTTTCTCGTTCCTTACAGGAAGGGAGGAAAACCCCCATCATGCAACGCTCGCTCCGAGCAGGCTTTGTTGGCAAGCTGAGTCTTCTCTTGAACGGGCATCCCCCCGATAAATGCCTGCTTTGCTCTGCCTTGATTCTCACCCACCCCTTCCTTTCTTCCCTCCCAACCCAGCCTCTTTTTCTTCTCAGCCTCAGCCTCTCCGCTCCTATTCCCTCCGCCATGAAAGAAGGGCCTGTATATTGATGGCAAGGTGGGGACCTCAAGAGCAAAGGAGTCGGCCTGGGTTTTCCATCTCTCCCTCCTTCCCTCCCTCCCAATAAGCCCATCCCGAAGCGCCCCCAGCTTGCAGGTCCCTCCTCGCCGCCTGTCACTCAGGCCAGATTTCTAACCAGAGGCAAAAGCATCGCTCTCGTTCCCCCCTTTCGCTCCCCTTACAAGATTCATTTGTAAGATTCATGTCACTTGACAGCTACTTCTGTAATTGCAATATGATTTACTGTCCCTTTCCGAAAAAAATAGCAGCCTAGCCTTTCTAGAAGAGAGAGAGAGAGCAAAAGAGGGAGTAGAAGGTGGAAGGAAAACAAGAGGATCTACACTGGCCGAATAATGCAGCTTGAACTGCATGGTTTAGGCTGGGTCTACACTGCCATAGAATCCAGGTGATCAAATAAAACCATCCAGGTTGTCTGCTTCGAAGTGGATTATACGAGTCTATACTGTCATATAATCTAGCTCAGAGCAGATAATCTGGATTTTAGATGGCAGTGCAGAAAGGGCCATACATGGTATAGTCAGCGGTATAATGTAGTTGCCCATATAATGGAGTTTGAACTGCATTATATGGCTCTCAAATGGCATTTGGCAGGGTAGATTCAGCCAGAGAAAGGGTAACTCGGGGTAATGATTATCTATCTATCTATCTATCTTTCTATGGCATTATTTGGTAAGGTAGATCCAGCCAGAGAAAGGGTAACTGGGGCTAATATATGTATCTATGCATGGCATTATTTGGCAAGGTAGATCCAGCCAGAGAGAGAGAATAACTCGGGGTAATGATTATCTATCTATCTATCTATTTATCTATGGCATTATTTGGCATGGTACATCCAGCCAGAGAAAGGGTAACTCGGGTTATGATTGATTATCTATCTATCTATCTATCTATCTATCTATCTATCTATCTATCTATCTATCTATCTATCCATCCACCTACCCACCCATCCATCCAATTATTTGGCAGGGTAGATCCAACCAGGGAAAGGGTAACTCGGGTGATTATTCATTATGTCTGCCTGCCTGCCTACCTACCTACCTGCCTGCCTACCTATTTATCTGGCATTATTTGGCAGGGTAGATTCAGCCAGAAAAAAGAGTAACTCGGAGTAATGAGATCTATGTGGTTTATAATATTTGAGATGGATGCAAGCAGAAGTTAGGAATCCAGTTGCGTGAGGGAAGGAGGGGGGTGGTGGTGCTCAAAACAGGCACAGACATTCATTGGCACGCAGTGTGAAAGCAGCACCTCGGAGCTCGCAGGCACGGAGCCGGATTTCCAACCCGCTGGCTTCTTCGCCTCCTGCGTGCCCGTGCAAGAGCCTCCAAATCACCTGGGTTAATATGCAACATAGGGAGCAGAGGAAGAGAGAGAGAGAGGGAGGGAGGGAGGCAGCGGGAAGGGGGGGGGGAAATCCCGGGAAGGAGCGCGATGGCTCCAGAGTGCGAGGCAGCCCTACCTGGGAACGGTGACTTCCAGAGGTGTCCGGACTGGGGCTGCTCCTTGGAGCAATAGACCTGCCCGTCCCACCCGTTGGAGAGCGCCCAGTGCTGGTAGCCGTCCATGGGCAGCAGCGCGTCGTGCCGGGGCTCCGGGTGGCCGCTGATCCCGGGCACCACGGATACGTCCAAATAGCCCGGGACGGCTTGGTAGGAGCTGGCAAAGCTCGGGTAAAAGGCAAACTCTTTGGCCCGGGAGGAGAGTTCTTCGCTGGGGAGGGAGCCGCTGGGCTCCGGGGGGTATTTCTCAGCTGCAGCCGGGTGGTAGGAGCAAGGCTTCTGCTGCAAGTTGACGTTGTGGGCGTGGGACAAGCGGCACCCGTAGTAGCTGCCTCCGAAGGGGTAGCCGTAGCCCAGGGGGCCGCTGGAGGCGGCGGGAGGAGGCGGCGGCGGAGGCGGCGGCGGCGGGCACTGTCGGGAGGCGTCGGGCGCCGGGATCTCCGCGTAGACCGAGCCCTGGTGGCCGCCGAGCCCGCTGGAGTGTCGTCCCAGGGCCGGGTGGGCGATCAGGTCCCGGCAATGGCTGGCCGGGCAATTCCCCGCGAGCCCTTCCATGGCGGCGGCGGCGGTGGCTGGGATCTTGTTGGGGCTGCTCTCATTCGGGGTCTCCTCGTAGACGTACATGAAGGTCTCCGCCCAGCGTGGATGCAAGATCAGGGAAGTCGTCATAGCATGGTCTGCGCCGAGCTTTTTAAAACTCGCCTTCCCAAAGAGAGGAGACACCTAATTTCCCCAACATATTGTTGACGCCCGGGCATGCGCACAAGAGCCCGGCGCGATAGGGGCCGGTTCATTAAGAAATCCGCCGGGCCACGTGACCCGTCTAGAGGCGCTTCTCGCCGCAGCCGAGCCCCGGCACGTGACCCCGCGCCGGCCAATGAGGGGGCTTCCCTCGGCTTCGGGAAGAGGACGGAGCGTTCCCATTGGCTGCCGCCCCGCGACAGAAACAAAAATCCTTAAAGGCGACGGGAGGCCCCCCTCCTCCACCCCACTGATTGTCAAGCGTGCGAGGAAATAAATAAGGGCAAGGTGGGGCGCTTCATATTTGGCCGACACAAAGGAGCCGAAGGAAAAAATGCTCAGTATTACATATTACATTAGGGATGGAATGGTTTCGCTCTTTTGTCAAGTGACATGGCATTGCTCAGAAGATGGGTTGCTGTGAGTTTTCCGGGCTGTATGGCCATGTTCCAGAAGCATTTTTCCCACATCTATGGCAGGCATCCTCAGAGGTTGTGAGGTATATTGCAACCTAAGCAAGGTATATTGGACCGAGGTATATTGGAATCTAGGCAAGTGGGATATATATATCTGTGGAATATAGAAGAGTATAGATAAATAGATATAGATAGATAGATAGATAGATAGATAGATAGATAGATAGATAGATAGATAGATAGATAGATAGATAGATAGATAGATAGATAGATGACCTGCCAAAGGATTGATGGAGGACTGGGTCTGAGAGGAATACCTTATATCTGATGTATTAAGCAGAACGATATGAAGGACAACTAGAAGCTCTGTGGTAAAGGAGAAATGTATAACCTGGTAAGGCAAGCTCAAAGGATAGATTATTTTAGATGACTCTTCAGGTCAGAAATAGGGACTACAGCACCTGCGCTTGTTTCTCGGTCTCTCTCTGTTGTCCTAGCGGATGGAGAGGTCTTTTTGGTTTGGATGCTTAAGGCTTCTTATGCCTCCCTCTTTGCCTCCCTCCCTTCCTCACCGTCTGTTTCTGGGAATCAGCTATTGGATCTTACGGGAATCAAGGAATCCAGACGTTTATCGCCCAGGAAATTGATTTTCTCTCAGCCTCTTTCAGTCTTGAGGGGGAGCGAAGAGATTAATATCACTTTGCATATATATATATATATATATATAAAATTTGTGTATGTAATCAGCGGGTATATTTACTCTATGGATTTGCTGTTGATGGTTTTAAAGGTATCTTACTTTTCCCAGCAGGAAGAATTTGAAATAATTCACCCTATGGTGTTAAAACACAACAAGGACAGACGACATGTGTCTGATAATATTGTGGGGAAGGGGTTCTTTATTATTATTTTCATAGGATGAGGTGTGTACAGTTCTTCACCACTATCTGTTTTTTTGCAAGAATTTTTTAAAAATTCTCTCTTTAAAAAAAATCATTTGCCCACCAGGTTGTTGTTATTGGGGCACGAAGGAATAAAAGCATCTGGGAAGCAAGGAAGGAATGGAAGGGGAGGAAGAAAGAAATGCCGGCCACATTGCAAGAATATAATAGATGCTTCCAAAACGTTTGAGTGTTTTTATAGGGTTTGTTCCTTGCCTGAGTCCAACCCAATAATGCTTAATCTTTCGTGCTCAGACAACTGGGGATGTTTTAAAAGGACTGGTTGTGATTATATTATGATATTGTGTTATTAATGTTTAATCCCTCAGTAGTAAATATGGCAGCAACCATGTCTGCTCTTGAAAGGCTGGGTGAGTTAGATCTAATGGTCTCAATGTTGATTTGTGTCTGTGTAAAAGAAAATAAATGCGACCGGCTTTATACCACGTAAACAGGATCCGAGATGGATGGGATATAATTACATAGATGAAATAGAAGAATTGTGAACTAGTCTGCCGAAGATTGATAGTCCCGGTATACATATATGTACACACACACACACACACACACACACGGTCGCTACATGTGGATGAGAGCCTTTCATTTATTTACCTACTTCCTCAGCGACTAAAGAACCCACTTCTGAAATATTTTTGCCTGACCATTCCTGGTTTGATGCAGATGGATGCCTTTGAAAATATGCGAAATTTAACTCGAAAGCACCAACTAGAAAATTGTTTAGATTTTCTGATTTTCTCTTTCCCCAATCCTGCATCATCAAGGATAACATGATAAATGTAGTCAAACAAGGAGATGGTGGTGTGTTGGAGGAGGAAAAGAAGGACTAAAATAGGAAGGACTTGCTAGCTTGCCTCTTGCCCATAGACACAGCTGTAATCCCACTTGCAAGATATTGTTGACGATTACTTGGAAGATGGTCCCACTCAATTCAAGATTAGCGTGGGTGAGGATTTCTGCTTCGGTTCTCTTGAAATCTTACTGCAACCAGTCTTTCAAAGGTCCTCTTCGCCCCAGAATCTAGCTTCGCGCTCCTTCCAACTCCCTTTGGTATTGACCACTTGACAAAAATTATTACGTATCTGGACTGAAAGTCCATATTCATGGTTCTGTGAGGAAAAAGAGAAGAGGAAACCACAATTCACGTTGCTCTCAACAAGGGTGGAACCAAGGTTTGTTCATAAGAGGGGAAAGAAAATCTCCACCCATTGTAGGATGAACTGCCTATTGTAATAAACTTATCAGGAAAATTAGCAATACTTCAGAAAATAAATTAAAATATATTTCAGAAATTCTCTCTCTCTCTCTCTCTCTCTCTTTATATATATATAATCAGTATATATATGTGTGTGTATATATTAGCAATACTTCAGAAAATAAATCTAGATACTGGGTTGTTATAGGTTTTTTCGGGCTATATGGCCATGTTCCAGAGGCATTCTCTCCTGACCTCACAACCTCTGAGGATGCTTGCCATAGATGCAGGCGAAACGTCAGGAGAGAATGCCACTAGAACACGGCCATATAGCCCGAAAAAAAACCCTACAACAACCCAATGATTCCAGCGGTGAAAGCCTTCGACAATACATGAAATCTAGATATACTTCAGAAAATCTCTCTATCTCCCTATATATAATGAATATGTGTGTGTGTGTGTGTGTGTGTGTATTAGCAATATTTCAGAAAATAAATCAATATATATGTCTGTGCATAGATTTATTTTCTGAAGTATTTGCTTATACACACACACACACACACAAGCATACTGATTTCATATATATATACACACACATATAGAGGGGGGGATTCAACTTTCTTTACTACTATCAGATCTTCTGAAGATTACACACACACACACACACATATATATATATACACCATTTGCTTTACTTCTGATCCTCTGAAGTTGCCAGCTGTAGATGGAGGCGATTTTCGGTAGCATTGTCCACCTTCGAGCTCACTACCTCTTGCCCACCAACAAAACGCAACAGTCACAGAGAAATTACAAAATTCCTCTAAGACCCCAACAGAAAAGAATTTCAGGATCTGACGTCTTTAGAGAAAATCCCCCCTTCTACTAAAAACCCTTTTCTTTGGAAAGTAAAGAAAGGGACCCCAAAATGCAAGTGTGGCTTACACTTTTCCGGCCACTGCAACTGAACCAGCCGAAGTCCAAGGTCAAGGCAAAATAGACAAAATAGACCAACCGGCTCCCAATTAGTGTCTAGACCGAAAAGAATGAAGTTCACATGTAGCGTCTAAAGGGGATGGGACGCCTTTGAGTCTGAAGGGGCGGCCATTACAAGGAAAGGTATGAAGGGTGATGTTTTCTGGGGGAAATCATTTTAAAGGCCATTCTTCTCTCCCTCCCCATGAGGAAAGCATTATTTTTTATTTTAGTGGTGGGAGAAAGAGACCATATTTTAAACAAGGCAGTTCATCCCACCGAACTGTGATCCAGAAAGAAGCATACATCATTTGTTTTTTTAAAAAGCCTTGGGATGGGCAATATAGGGGCAATTGACTGTATCAAACAAGGAACGCTGGCAATATAGGCATCTATCTGTGATTTTGACTGTATGGTACATGTCTCATGTCTCACTGTTGTGTTTGGATGTGAATGTTGGTTTGTTGGGGAAGTCCTCAATGCATCTGAGAAAATGTGCTAAAATCTTCCGGAGGATTTTCCCCAAATGCAAGGTGTCACAAAACGTTTTTTTTTTCTTTTTGCTGCCTGAGAAAACTCATGGAAAAATCTAGACCCTAATCTTATTGCCGTCTAACCAAACATTGCTTCCCATATTCACAAGAGGGTTTAAAAAAAGGGGGAGTTAGCTGTGGGAAGGAATGGTTTACAGCTGGAGAGTCAGAGGGCCCTTCCACACAGCCATATAACCCAGAATATCAAGGCAGAATAACTCACAATATTTGCTTTGAACTGAGTCCACACTGCCATATATTTCAGTTCAAAGCAGGAAATGTGGGATTTTCTGCCTTGATATTCTGGGTTATATGGATGTGTAGAAGCACCCAAAGTAGAAGTGTTTCCTATGGCCCTTCCACACAGCTATATAACTCAGAATATCAAGGCAGATGACGCACAATATCTGCTTTGAACTGGGTTATTTGAGTCCACACTGCCATACAATCCAGTTCAAAGCAGGTAATGCAGGATTTTATTCAGCTGCGTGGAAGGGGCTTGGATTATCTGAGGGCCCTTCCACATAACCCAGAATATGAAGGCAGAAAATCCCACAATATCTGCTTTGAACTGGTTTATCTGAGTCCACACTGTCTATATTCCAGTTCAAAGCAGATAATGTGGGATTTTATTCAGCTATGTGGTAGGGGCCCTAGGGCCTTTCCACACAGCCCTATATCCCAGAATATCAAGCCAGGAAATCCCCCAATATCTGCTTTGAACTCGGTTATCTGAGTCCACACTCAGATAATGTCGGATTTTCTGCCTTAGTATTCTGGAATATAGGGCTGCGTGGAAGGACCCCTAGTTTGGAAACACGGGCTGATGAATAGACACACCATGGGTCATGCAGAAAGCTTGCAAAAGGATGTATCTAAACGTGTACCGAGCAAATAGCTTCATTTCCCAAGACTTCTTTCTTTTCTTTCTCCCCC